TATTCGTTTGTCCACGTGTATATATATATATATATATATATATATATATATATATGACGAAATATTATTTTAAAAAATGTTTAATAGGTTGCAAAAAATATAGATATATCAGTTCTCTAATAATCGCACATATTTATTTCGTTTCGTACAATTTATGATTCAAGCAGTTGGCTTTAGAAAGGCGATTTAGGTCTCCACGAAGATGTTATCCCGCAAGAATATTGCGATGATTTACTTAGTAATTTCTATCCTCCACTTTAATCAAATCGAGTGTGAAAAAGTCTCCCCGCCAATGGCAATTTCTTCAGTCGGTGTCGTAGAATTTTTTGTGCAAGGTGCATGTATTTGAAAGAACAACTCGATTTCCCGTCTCGTCGAAATCTTCCTCCGACAAACGAATCTCCATAACGTCGTTTTATGCGCACAAGATATATTTTTCATACATACGGATACAAAAGCGACAATCGCTTTTATCTCGTGAGATGCGAAAATCGCGAGCGCATGTCGTCGTATAATCGCAGTAGTATTGTACACGATACCTGTCCCAAGGAAAAAGCTCGTCGTTCGTGTTACACGGGAAGGAATAAGTACCTTGAAGTACAAACGGGCATCCACGCAAACGTGTTTAGCGTATTTTATTTCTTTGTGAGCGATGTATTATGCTAGAGAAAAAAAAGTAAAAAGAAAACGACGCGCGTTGTGTAAAAAAAAAAAAAAAAAAAAAATTAAAGAAAAGGAAAGAGAACGAACGAAAGCTTGAAAAGGGAGTGACCGGTTAATCCTCGCTTGGCGGTATGTTCCTCGATTTTTCAGAAACCTCTCCGCCGATATTAGATGCGTGCGAATACGGAGCCGAGTCGCTAAAAAGTTAACGACGGAAACAAAACCATCGGACGAGAGCGGAGGAGAGCGAAACGCACACGAGTGTGAGCACACTTTAAAGTGAAAACTAATACCGCAGGCCGACAGGGAAAAAGAAGTTAGATAGAGGAAGAAGAAAGGAGAAGGGGATGTTTTTTTCACGTTAAAAAACATTTGCGGAGTGAAACTGCACCGCACCGAGCGTGGAGGATAGACGAAAATTGGCGGTCGGTAGGTCGAGGGGAAACAAGGAGGGAGGAAGAAAGTATTCGAAGGGGAAAAGAGAAAAAGGAAAAAAGAAAGGAAAGAAAGGAAAAGAAATGTGTATTTGCGAAAGCACTCCCTTTTACCCCCC